CCCCAAAACCCCAAAACCCCAAAACCCCAAAACCCCAATTTCCAATTCCTTCAGTCCAATATTATCAAACCATATTTCTCCACAGAAGAGATTTTAACTCAGCAGGTAATTTAGGAGCAATTTCAGGATTTAGAGAAAAGCCGATTAAGGAATAAGGAATCAAGAGGTAGGCATGCGGAGGGGTTTACAATGGGTCAAATAGAAATCAAGGCTTACTGTAACACTTCATTATTAACAATGTCCATCCAGCCATACCTCCTATCCTCCTTCTCTGCTACCTCAACGACCTCAACCTGACCATCAATGACACTAATATCTCATTCTTCCTATAAAATTACATGAACTCCACTTCTTCACCGAATAAACCATTTTCTTAAATCCCGAGGAGATAAAGCTGCTTAGAGAAATTTTTGGCCATTACATTTATTGGAGGTATCTTCACTTTAATCGGCTTGACAGGTCTCTGTACGACCCTTGGCTTAAATATCTGCTTAAAGGTACAGCTTGGCTTGGCCAACAGTGGTGAATCACCCGCATGCTCTACTGAGAAAGGCGAGGTCTTGCACTCAGGCTTGTACTGCTGCTTAGAAGTATGTGGTTTCTGGTAGCACAGTAGGGGATTTTGGAAATTAAGCCCCTTCTGAGGAAGCTCTAGGTGCTGAATGTGGTGACTGGCATCGTAGATTTGGAGGTGACGGCGAGGATTACTTGAGGTTTTACGCTTGTGGAAAATTGATTGGGATTTTAGAGTGAGAGGGGATTTAGAAAGCGATTCAAGGTTGTCGGTGAATTTAGTGCTGTTCTGACCCTTTTCAATGCTTTGTTGGCTGTTTTTGAGTAGGGAGATTTTTGGTTTGGATTTTGTATCTGAAATAGGTTATTTTAGAATTTTGAGGAATCTATTTACTCATTGTGAATATTTTGTAATCAGATCTGGCATTTATCAGATCGATTCTAGGTATCTTCTTGAACTTAAAGTCTCCTTTTTCATTCATCCCTAGAGAGTCACAGTTATAAACCTGGTTATCCAGCAAAGAGCTCATGAATCTTCACAATTTTAAAATAATCTCCAAGAAAAACCTACCATTTCAGGCCTTTGCCATTTCTCTTACTCAATACACTGTTCTTAATCCTGAGAGAAGGAGTTGACCCTCACCTCTTAGAAATACCTATACCCAAGATATTGATTACTCTTCGCCATTATGGAGGTTGAGAGGTGAGGAATGGAAGGGATTGTTGGGAAGAGATTTGGGATTGGGAGGAGAGGATGGGAGGGTAGTGGCTTACTTTTTGTGTTCCTTTGGAACAATTTGTTTGGCTTTCTTTCTAATAAAGTTTCCATTTAAATAAAAATATTCATTTTATTAAGTCCATAAAGGGGTTTTGGGGTTTTGGGGTTTTGGGGTTTTGGGGTTTTGGGGTTTTGGGG